GAAGTCTCGTGATGTAATACGTTGTGAACGAAGTCTCCTGATGTACTACGTTGTGTACGAAGTCTCGTGATGTAATACGTTGTGTACAAAGTCTCGTGATGTACTACGTTGTGTACGAAGTCTCTTGATGCAAGACGTGTACGAAGTCTCGTGATGTCTCAGTCCTACTGCAATCGCCCGTGTGCGGCTGACTGGTAGTTCAGCTCACCTGCGGACACAGAGGAGCTGGTCAAACGCCTTCCTGCGCGCACTAGTCAGCGTCTTGATTTTATGTAACTCGTCCACTACGATCATATCCCAATTGATAGTGTTGTAAAACTGTGTGGTGTGTAAAAAAAACATCCCATATCAGCATCAATAAAGGATCGTACACAATTGGCACGCTTAACACGGTCTTCCAAAAGTGGAAATTGAACCTCCAATACCATGCTGCTTCTCGATTATCAGTGTCCCTGTTCCATATAATCGGCCGCATGGCCCCAACACACGGCTAAAGCAGCGATACCAGGCATACACATCAACACACCTCGACATTCGATGCTAAGTTATCATGTGAGCACAGGACGATGTCCAATGCATTGTGGCCAATCAACTGCTCCACCTGCTGCACAGTGTGTGTGGTGCCATTCACGTGGTAGACCTGAAGTGCAAATTGAGTGAAGCAGGGCGATAGAATCAGGAGTAGGAATTTGGAATTTGAAAGTGGAATTTGGAACGTGGAATTTGGAATTTGGAATTTGGAAGTGGAATTTATTTGGAATTTGGAATGTGGAATTCGGAATTTGGAATTTGGAAGTGGAATTTGCAATCGAGAGTGAGAGCAGGAGCGACATTTCGAGTCAAAGTACAGCCTCCGGCACAACTGATAAGTTGTGATGCGGTGGGCCGTATACTGGTCACTACTTGCTTCCGTAGATAGCAATGCGACGCCAACTGGCAACGCGCATAGTAGTTATAGCCATACGCATATACAAACTGAGCATCTGATACCTCACACACACACACCTCAAAATAGCCCCAGGTCTCAATCTCTGCCTTGAACTGTGCGCAGATGGACGCAGGGGTGGTTATCAATACCGGCCTTCGCGTGATCTGCTTCTTCATCACCCTTCTGACAGTGTCCGGCATCTTATCATCCTTGTATCTGTGTGCGGTGACAACAAAATCTTATCAATATAGTCACTCCGATCAATAAAAAGCTTCTATAGCAATACGACCCATTCGGTAATTGATTGGTGAGAGAGGCCCAGCACGCACCTACCTCACAGTCATGAGGGCAAGGTGAAATCTTTATCTACGGTACAAATGTGCCATTTTACACACATTTTACATACATGTATCAGGTACACACCTCACTTTATCAGATACACACATTTTACACACATACAACAGGTACACACTACACGCCAAAAAGACATCTACCTCGTACACTCCTACCTGAGTGTCCGGTGCCATGAGCCACCATCGACAAGCGCAGTTGGTACGGGATATACGGAAACGAGACATATTGATACTTCACACTTCCCCTAGACCCTAAACCCTAAAAATGAACATTACACTTTTTAACGTAATACTTTATTTGGAGCTAGTTGCAGTGTGCACCCCAGCGTTTCCGCAGACATATACAATCTTGCTTGCGATAAAAAGTGTTGCCGTGCAGTTGATGCCATTGGCAGCTTACGTATGAGAAACAAGCAGCGATATAACACTCTCGATGGCAGACTTATTGTCCCAAACTGTGCACCAACAACTGCGTAGTCCCCATAAAGCCTATACTATTTGACTCTCCCGTACATAAACAGCGATACTCGTATCACGCCATAACATACGCCACACACACACCTTCCGGTCTTATGCTGCACTGCGTACAGGAGAGCAATCGTCTGGATAGTCTTGCCCAGACCCATATCGTCAGTCAGGATTGCGCCCCGGTTTTCTTTGTAGTGATCGAACAGGAACTGAATACCCTGTACATATTTATAGAGAGTGATGACTGGGTGCACGTGTAGCGAACTTTACAAGTCTTCGATAAATAGTATTATGCACCAACTCTCAAACGTACGCTGCGTTTCTATGCAAGAGCTCACATTAAAATCAAATGTTTATATGTGTACATAAGTAAGT